AAACTCGACGACCACATCAGTGACAACTGATTCTCGGTGTCGAAAATTTTTCGGAAATCAAATATCTATTTTTGTGCTATGATGGCGACGACTGAAATTTTTAGCAACGACTTACGGAAATGGCAGAGGCGTCTTGAAAATTATGTGCTCATCAAAGATACCGACTGAAAATTTCCCAACAAGAATTAGCAGTCGCTTTGCGAATCAACTGACAACACAAAACATATAGAATCGTTCACTTGTTTTCTTTATCTTTCTCCTAATTGATTTTCGTATAATAAATATATATATTTTTCTGCTTCAATTCTCTATTATAAGAATAATCACACTGATATACAATCCTTTTTTAGTCATCAATGAGAACTGTTTGGATTCAGAAACATATCTAAAAAGAAATGCTAGTTAACACCGTCATTTAGTAGATAGTGAATAGAAAACAGATGACGAAAAGTAGGTTCAAATTTCTTTCTCAGGAACTTTTTAATGCAAAGTACGTGCATCGTTTTGGTACATGCTTGATAGACTATCAGATGAAATTATACTCGAGTTTTTCACATCTAATTTCTGTGTCATAAGTATATTACAATTAAAAAATATTTTTCTTTTGTTGACTTACTATTTTTATTCTTCTGGAAAAGACTTAATGATCTTAAAGGAAACGGATCAAATTATTTTCGTAATCTAAGAAGTAGATTTTTATCATAGTGACATTCTTCAAAATTATACTAGGCTTTTTTCTAAGAATCAATTCTACTCTTGTGTCTCCTGACATTTTTACTTTTATATTTTCTTTCTTTCTTTCCCATAACATTGATCACTCAAAAAACATATCGGGATAAATATTTGTTACTTTTCTAACATACTATTAGATGATTCAAGGATTGTTTTTATACCAGTTGTTAATACGAGTTAAACAAGTTACATTAATTTTTGCAAAAAACAATATTTCTTATCTATATTACCGTCTACGATATATGCAGAACACTCATCGTTTGATTTTTCTTTATGAATACGCATTCATTGGATGTCAGATGAACGTAGAGTAAAGTATGAAAATCTCATTCTACCCAACTCGGAAAACAGCTTTAGCTTCGTTATGTTTTATTTTTGTCATGCAAGTTAGTAAATATAAAAAACTCTTATTGTTGTCTAAATACTGTTTTTGAATGAGCATAATTCATACAAAGAATCTAAATCTAGCAATATTCAATCTTTTCAATTCCTTAAGGTATTATGTTTTTTTCTTAATGTTAAAATTCAAGAGAATTATGTTATAACATTATCTTGATATTTTTATTCATTATGAATATTTCATTGGATACTTTTTTATTTTTCAATAAGTATTTACATGAAAAAAAAATAAGACTTAAACAATTCCGGTTGGTTTTTCAACAATCCTAAGATTTATGCATCTTTTTTTACTGAAAAATCCTACATAAATTATTAGATACTCGATGAGACTAGAAGAACTTAGAAAAGATTCAGAAAAGAAATATTTTATATAATAAAACATGCTATAAATCTATTATTAGATACAGTGTCACAGAAACCTTTTCTTTTCGCAGAACTTTAAAGAGGTATAAATAATAGAAATGATTTTAAAATTTCTTCGAAACACTATAAATAATCAACAACAGCTTTTAGTAATTTTCTGCATGCGACATTGTTAATATGTATAGACTAGACTACTCAAGTCATCTAAGGCTCACGCCAACTTAAGTTTAGTGTACCTGACTTTAGAGAAAAAAAAAGATTCTTTCCTAGAAAGACAAACACAGTTGTTATGTAATTTAAGAGGAGTAGAATTTTGTTGATGAAACTAATTGACAGCAGGGCTGTTTTTAATACATGTTTTACTTGAAATTAATACAGAATGTTTCAAATAACCTTGAATTTGTTCTCAAATAATGTATATTAAAGTCGAGTCTTTGGAAAGAATTCGATTTAAACAAAAAAAGCCGACAAGCATCAAATGATGAATCTTACTGTGAAAAGGATTAATTAATATGAGCTTTTTTTCGATCGAATTAAATCAAGACGGCTCAAAACTTCAATTTTTTTCTCTCTATTACATCAAATAATGATTTTGTAATTGAAATACAATAATATACAAAGTTTTTTTCATGATCATCGATTGTACCAAAAAAGAAAATATCTGCACTCCTTCAAATTTCTGATACCAGTTACATTCACATATGTTTCTACGCTAAGCAATCGCTAGACAACATATATTACTTAAAAGAAAGCACCATTTCATTAGCACTTCTGTTAAAAATGATTAACGACAATATCGTTAACGATGCCTGGAGACTATTTTGCATTACCTTTATATGACTATTGTTGGTCATAAAAAACTCTTTTTTTGACAACTGTATTAATGACTGTTACATCTGGAAAACGAATAGTTACATTAACTAGTCAAAATCATATACAAGTACAAACAAATAAAGATGACAGTTGTCTCTTTATTCTAACGATAAATCAATCAAAAAGAAAAATTCTAACTGATTTATTTGAGAATTTTATGTATTATATTTTAAATCAATCTGATACATTACATGCTTGTTTACAATAGATAATTTTACAAAAATTAAACGTCATCAATAAAATTAAGAAGATTAATGTCGCCATTGTTTTGCTTTATCCGTTAATGGAACATAGCGAACACCTAAAGTTGCATGTTCATGAACTTCATGACCATCTTCCGATTTATCGTAAATCATCATTTGTTGACTTCCGACACCAACTGGAACTACTAGACGTCCGCCTGGTTTTAATTGTTCAATTAATGCATTTGGTCGATTTGGTGCTGCTGCACCAACATGTATCGCATCATATGGACCGCCTTGCGGATAACCTAAACGACCATCACCTACAACAATTTCTAATGTTTTATCATCAAGTAATGAACGTGCATTTTTTGAAATATTTTTTATTGATAGTTCAACTAATTCTGGTATATGCTCAATACCAATAGCTTTTCCACCTGGTTGAATAAGATGAGCTATACAAGTTGTTAAATATCCTGAACCTGATCCAACATCAAGTACACGTGCACCAGGAATAAGTTTATCTTGTAGCATTTCCAGTGCATAAGCATGCATATGCGGTGCTGATATGGTTACATTATAACCAACTGAAAAAAATGAAAATAGTTATTCATTTTTTTAAGCACATAACCAATAAAAACATTACTTGGTTGTGGTGCATCTTCATATAACCGATCAGTAGAAAAATCTAATCTATCTGTTGCTAACATAGCTGTTTTGATTCGTGCATGTTTAATAATATTTTGTCGAACAAGTGATTGAATAAGATCAGCATGTGTACGATGCATTTTCTCGTATCTTCAAATTATTTTCAAAGTTACAGAATTATTAATGACATGATAGATGAGCCTCCCGACACTTGAGCATGACATAAGGAACACATTAAAGAAATATACTCACAAAATAGTTTTATTCTGAATAAGTTCACATTGACATAAAAAATTCAATAGAGCTCTTACTGGTTTAAAGTATTAGTTTCTTGTTATGAAATGAAAAGTTAAAATTAATCGTTGTAATTTGTCATCAAGAAGTTCATATTTAACATATTGTTGGTCAAGCAATCGTACAGTAAAAATCTTATAAGCTCATACCTTTGATCGTGTAAGATTAGACGAAAACTGTACGAAAAATCACTAATTCGTATTACAAGATTCTTGAAAGATCTTGCTGTCTTGTAAGATAATACCACAAGATTATAGGAAATCTTATGTGATGGTAAAATGTTTCAAGAATCTGATAGTGCGACTTACGCAGATCGGAAAATCAGACATAATATCTTTAGATCAGATCTCTGATCTTACAGAATCATACAATATCACAGATCTGATCTAAAGATCTTACGTCTGATTGCTTTGACTTGAGTTAGGTTTTTTTGTGATATTTCATCTGGCCTTACAAGACATTATGTCTGATCTTTTCATCAAGGATTTATTTAGTTTTAGGTGTGAATACTCATCTTATCTTGATTTATGCATTGAACGATTACAGTACTGTTAAATTCTAATGTATTTTACTCGATGTAATAGCTCATCAGTGTCTATTTACAATTCAGCATGCGAAAATCCATCAATTTCTGAATCTATCGACGATTTGAAGATAGAATAAGATGCGAACTTGATAATGGCTGAACGATTGCAAACCGGACTTGTAAAACTAAACAAACGTGTTAAATATGAACTTCTTGATGAACAATTACAATAGCTAATTGTGACTTTTCATTTGATGACAAAAAACTTATACTGAAAACAAGCAAGAACACTGTAGAATTCTTCATGTTAATGTAAGCTTATTCACATAAAACTATTTTCTTATATTTCTTTAATTTATTCTTTATATCACGCTCAAGTGACAGAAGGCTTAACTATCGAAAGACTCATCTGTCAATGTGTCAGAATTATTAAATAAACAAAAGAAAAAGGAAGGAAACTAGCGTACCCTTGCTTTTCAACTACTTTGCAATATGAGTACTGTCTAGCTACATACCCAATAACCCGATATCTTCTCTACAACTATGACTAACTATAGCTCTGAACAAAATGCTAATCTGCTGCACAGTTCTTCACTCCGCATACACACTAACTAACTACATACGAGCGACAAGAGAAGTTGTAGTCCACAGTGTACTCAGCATACTATTGAACGAGTGATCCAAGGCAAACAACTGTTAGTGACTGATCCAGAGTCATTGTATAGCTAGTGATATCCACACTTGAATATAGTACTATGTGGGTACATGTAGAACAATGTCACTACTCAGACATTGTGATCCAAAAAAAAAAAGAAAAAAAGAAGAATTTTTTTTTGTTTATATTTATTTAGCAAAAAAAAAAACAAAAAACAAAACAAATACCAATGATATATTCTTGCAAAAGAAATTTCGCCTTTTTTTCTCAGTGAAATTCAATACTTGACCCATGAGGAAACATTTGCTTGACTATTTACATGCTGGATCTAATGTCGTTTAGAACTTCGTTTCGATGATGATGGACTATGTTTTCGTTTTTCTTGTGATGGTGATGATCGACGATAAGATTTCTATGAGAATAAAATATAATTTCAAAATAAAATCAATTGTTTATAGTCATACTGAATCGGATTTTTGAACATTTTCATCAAGTTCTTGTTTTCTTCGTTCTTCATCACGTTCAGTCTTACGTTGTTGTTGTCGACGATTTCGTTCAATAACCTAAGTATCCCCACGAAAAGAAAAACATCAATCTAAAATTTTTGAAATAAAAAAAAATTATACTTGTTCTTCTGTTAATGGTAACCAATAAATTGATGGTTTTGAATTTGTTTTACGAAAATATTCATCAAGTCCTTTCACTGATGATTCATTTGGTTTTACTACGTAAAAAAAACAACATTTTTGTTTTTGGATACCTCGTTTTGTGTAAAAATTACAAACTTGATTCTTCTTCTTCTTCAGGTATTATAACTTCCCCATGCGTTTTTTCTTGTAACTTTGGTATATCCCATTCTCGTGCATCTGAGTGATCTTTCTTCGTATTCGATTTGACTCCATCAATTGGACTAGTAGATCGACGTGACGATATTATATTTGGTTTATCTTGTATAATACGATCGATTGCATCTAGAAAAAAGATCCGAACGAGAATGACATTGATTAGGATAAAAATTTTTGATTGTTTTACCAATAGACATTTGATCAGGTGGTAAATCATGAGTTTTACTAAATTCCAACTAAGAAAAACAAAAAGGAAAAATGACAAAAAAAGGAGAAAATAAAGAAACAATTTACTTCATTTTGTTGAGCAAATCGAACAGATAATGTTTTTGGATTTGTTAATGGCCATCGACAACCATCAAGTGCTTCACGTGCATTTTGTGCCTCTTCTATTGTATGATACTAATTAAAAAGAAAACCAAAGTTGATAAAACTGATTTGATTATGGAAAAAAATCTATTTACAGTAACTAAACATTGACTCTTTATTTTATCAAGCCAAAATTGACCATCTACTAATGTTCCATAACGGCGAAGAAGTTCTTTTAATTGTAGAAGACTAAATGGACGAGTGAGACCACGAATGTACAAAATTTGACTTAATGGTTCATTTACGGCAGTGACATTTTTTATTCGAACTGGTTCATCTGTGATTATAGCTGAAAACAAAATCATTTCCTTTTATTTACATTAAAAATAAATAAATTAACTTACAATTAGTTTTTCCATCAATTGATGTTGTTGATTCAAACGAAGGAAGGTGTGTTGATGTCAAATTTTGTTTTTTTCTTGTACTAATATCATCGTTTAATGATAATGAATTAGTCTATAAAGAAAATGTTTATATTAATCAAATTAAATATGATTATCAAATAATATTTACAGTAATATTCATAACAACAGTTCGATTTGTTGGTTGTTTTTGATCTGCTAAATCTCCAATAGTCATTGAATCGCAAGAAAGAAAATCATTATTCATATTTGTTTCAAATACTTGTTCTTTTACTGATTGTTCATTAGTATTATTATCATTACTCTGTTCATTTATTAATCCATCAAGTTCATCATTAACAACAGATTCAGGTAATAGACTTATATCAGGAATAAGTGTCTAGTCAGATAAAACAAAAGAGCAACTAGAATTTTTCTCTCTCTTATTAGGCATAATTTTCAATTGATATTCTCTGTTTTTGCACAAGAGTGAGGTTCATAATTTAAATGAAAATCCTAAAATGATTCACATCTACTTACGAAAGAAGCGTTTCAAATGGTGAATCGTTTCTAAGTTCAAACTTTGTGTATAAGTTAAACACTAGTGAACTAGGAAAACTTCAAAAGAATAAGCGCTATTCGGCCTTACATCTATGGTTATAGCCATTTTACTAGGAGCTTCGTCTATACGATAGTGTGCACCAACAAATAAAATGATGGTGTTTCGATTAGAATTTTTCAGTTCAAAATAAGGTTTCCTTCACGAAATATTGAATTTCCAATCATCGCTCTTACCTTGTGAATGGTGTGAGAATTTCATGCTTTTTTGGAAACTCAACATCTGGTAAAAGAAACACTCCTGTGAACTGAAAATTTCAAGTCGAACTATCATCATTCGATTTGTTGGTATATATCGTCCTATAGGCTAAGATTCTAGTAAAAAAGCTATAACTCTTGATGCAATGTGAAAAGACACTTATCTTTTTGGATTTCATCGTGTTTCACTAGAGTCTACGTTATGCACAAAGTTTGAACTCAAAAAACGATTTATCACTTGGAATGATTTCTTCGTTAGAGCTTGCTTCTCAGCATATGAACACTTTTATAAATTTTTAGCAAACTATAGGATAGTACGAAAAAAATCGCAATAAGAACTTGTTGTGTCGGAAATTTTCCGAGTAGAAAGCCTCATGAGATTTATGATGCATTGAAAGCTTTAGTTCAAACGGATGTGTTTTTTTTTAACATATGGAATACCTGAAGCAAGAACTATTTTGAGACAGCAGCATTTGCTTGTAAACTTGTTATTCCAAAAAAGTAGAATCCATTTGAGCTGAAACTTTTTTTAATTAATAAGCACCATGAGTTTTTTCTTAGAAAAATTTCAAATGAAAAGTCTTTAATACGATTTTTTAGTACTATTTTGCCATATACTAAAAATTAATCAAAGTAACTTTGACTGCAAAAGAGAGGTCTAAGCGGATGAACCTTTTTAGAGTTTTCATCTAAAGTATGAATCTTACTTGTGTGCAAAAACAGTAAGTAGCAGATGGAAGTGTTCTCTCCTTAAATAAGATAGAAATTTACTTTGAGAATTTCAGATGATAAATTGATTTTATTATTTGTTGATCGATGAAGGCCTTTCATTAATGATGATGTTTGTGAACGATTTGTTTTAACTTGTTCTTGTTGTTGTTGAGAAGCAGCTTTTTTGACTGGTTTATGCATTGAAGATGATTCATCTTCTTCAATAAAAAAGATACTATTATAATAGAGTCAATTCTAGCATAAACTCTATCAAAACGGAAGCTACTAATAATTATCATAACTCCTGTGGCAAAGGTCTTGACACAAAATATTCATTCATTTTGAGTCTCCTAAATCTAATTAATCGACATCAAATGTAATTAACTCAAATCATAATTTTGTGCTCTTTTTCGATATTTAATCAGAATATTTCTCTGATTTACAATTGATTAGAAATTCAACAAATGCTTCATACAGTCGAAAATGATATTTGTATAGAGCTTTATTTGATGTATTTTTGTATTTTGACCAAATCCTATTCAATGCAAAACATGAATGATAGTTGCATTCACCAATTTTGTAGAAAGAATTTTACTCTACAAATCTTGCTATCTACTTTTATGTACTCTCTCGAAGCCAAGACACGAAATCTGTTGCATTCTAAACAGAAGATTTCGAAAAATTGATCTTTGATATAAATTTTACTATAAAAACCACGCAGTTCTACGACAAGTGGCTATAACCCTTTATTCATTTGAGTTCCGACTAAGTGTAATAGATGATTTTATAGACAACTGAACTCTATACAATTTATCGATTTAGATAGAGACAGAACCGGTCAGTCTAAGATCCATACTGATACTGAACTGACAAGTTGTCGTACTCTTCCATTTGTGGACAATGATATTTGATATAGTCAATTTTCAGCAATATTATTTCATACTTTCTATGAGATGCTAAGAGCAAAAGAATTAATTAGACGCACCAACCTATTGACAAACAAAAACCAGTCTACAATCAGTACTCGTAATCAGTGTCAATTCCATCTATGGATTTAGAACTACTTCAAAATACAATCCACACAAGCCATGAATAGTAGAGAAACGTGTAGTTTCTTCGTACAGATGTCATTTGTCGTTCTCTGTCAGTATTAATTTATACCTAATCAACCTTAAATCTAAGAGATATTCTAATATATGTAACAGATATGTAAATAACACGGCTTCTAACGAACTACTTTGTGTTCTTATTAGAAGCCTTTAGTGACTGAACGATGAAGAAAACTCATTTTCGACTCCAGCAAGTATTTCATTCTTTCCTCATCAAATTTAATTAAAAGAAGAAGTCAGATCACATATTCGAAGAGAACACAAAATTCTCATTTTAGTTAAATACTTTTGATTTTTACTAATTACATTCAGGTAACTACAAAGTGCATAAAAATTTCTGTCAAGACTTTTACAATAGGAATTACTAGACATCAAGTTCTTTGCATTAACATAAGATCAACGCTTTTATCTATTTCGTCTCATAAAGTTTGAACAGTTTTTTTCAAATATTCAAATCTGTAACGTAACTACTACTTATAGGTAAACGCTTTCATATACTCAATTCAATGATGTTGATCTACTTAAAATTGAGTATAGTATTGATCAATAATAAAATATTTACCTTTTGTAGTCTCTTGTTGTTTTGTTGTGGCTGCTTTTAAATCGGCAGATAAAATAGCATCTGATGACTGATCCATCATCTTATTATTATTTCTTAAAATACAAATTAAAATATTGAAAAATTTATTTGAAAGTATTTACTTGGAGTCATCATTGGCATCATGTGTTGCCGAATTTTTTTCTTCATCAATCGTTATTGATTGATTATATTGTTGTTCTGCTTTCGATGGATTTAAACGCTGTTGTTCGTTGGACAACGGGGTTTCTTTAATAATAGACTCTGACTTGGCACTATTACTGCCAACAGATGGCGAATATGACTCTCCTCCTATTTTTTCTATATCTTTCTGTTCCTCCTCAATACTCTTACTCACAAACGATTTCACCTCTACATTGTTGTCATTGCTTGAAACATCCAAAGCATTTTGTTCTGTGTCTATAACTTGTTGATTCGATGTTGTATTTGAATTTTCATTCGATGAGTAATCGACGGAAGATTTTTTGCTACTTGCTCGTGTTTTTCTCTTGGATGTTGAAGAAACAACTGAAGTATCATTTACTTTGGGAATATTTATCGATGAAAATTGTTCCTCTTCTATATATGATGTTATATGTAATAGTTGAGGAATAGGTATTATTGGTGCAGAAGATGGATAATCATTTTGTGGTATTGATAATGTGTGTACAGATGGATGCTGAGCAGTAGCCTAAAAGAAAATTAGCATTAAAATTTCATTCTTTCTCATAAAGCTATTGTTTTACTTGATCATCAATCGTCAGTAAAGCTGCATGTATAACCGGTGTTTCAGTTTGCGGATGTTCAACTGAATGACTTAATGATGATTGTTCAAATTCTTTTTGTAAAGCAGCATGTAATTTAGCTATAAGATTTTTTTTATTTCCTGATGTCGAACAACCTCGTCGTTTAAGTTCAGCACGTAATTCGACATTTGTCATTGAATCAATATGTGTTAATCGGTCTTCTGTCATCATGTTATAAAACAAGATGGATGAAGGAAAAAAAAAACAAAGCAAAACTAGAGAAAAATCTATAAAATAAAATTCATACTATTATAAGAAAATTTTTTCTTTCTATGATAACCGTATTATCTCTATCTTTCTTTTCTGTTGGAAGAAAATTACAAATTAAAAATTTGAATAAAATTACGACGAAAAAAAAAGAAAAATTAAAATAGCTTTTCAGTGTCCGTTGAGGTCTGGATTTGCTGCTGCCGTTAATCTGAAGTAAATAATGGCCCCAAACACTACCACAATAGGAATAGCCAATTTCATCCATGATGCATCAGCATAATTAGAAGCATCTCTAGTGTTTTTATTTTGCTTTGAACTTTCAATTAAAGGACGAGGCTAAATAAAACGTATAACTCAGTTTTTGAAATTATTTAATTATTTCTTACTGTAATTACTGGTCGAACATCATCCTAAAAAAGATATTAAAATGAAATATTTTAATAAATATATAATAAATTAATTTACTTTATGAATTTCAGCTATTTCATATTTTTTCATTAGTTCACGTGCATCAGGACTGTGGCGAATATCTTCAAATTCCTGTGAAGCATCTTTACCATGCTGCTCTTTTAAAACTTCTTCACCACCTGGATGCTTTAAAAATAATAGTTTGACATTAAAAATTTTTCAAAAAACATGTTTTTAATAATAAACCTCATCAAGAAATTTTGTTACATCATATACTCGATTATTGATTATCAAAATACATCTACTTTTATCTTCAGCTAATTTTTGAACTTCACTTAAAGTGAGTACTTGTTTATCAGATTGAGTATCAACCATTCTTTTCTTGATGAGACACGCACGAGAATATTAGAAGAATACGAAAATAATACCTAAAATGATGAAACTTAAAGTTGGTCAAAGGTCGAGATCAATTATTTTTCTTTTTTTTCTTTCATTCGAAAGTTTTTACCAAATCGTATTATTTGCATCGGTATGTTTATCCAAGCCATGACGTGATCTTTCGATAGGGACAAACCAATCTTTAACCTTAGAAACGAAATTTTTTTTCTAAACATATTTATTTATATAAATTATAATTTTGAATTTTACCGTACAAATTTTAGTTGTAAATAAATACAAATATTCAAATGTGTCCAATAGATGTCACTTATCAATGGTAACATCTTGTTACGAAGACACGTTGATATTTTTTTTAGCTCAGTATAAGAATATAGCTTTCAAATGCAATTGCTACTCAAATTAATGATGTACAACTGAAGTACACTAAGAAATATTCTATATTAGACTACATGAGAAAATCTTTCTTGATTCTTCGAACAATTTGATTAAAACAAATTCTCGATGAGAAACGGTACCATTTCATATAGAGATTTTGATCATTTATTTATTTAAATAAAAGATTGTTTTGTTATTTTGACTAACATATAGAATAAACATAGTTATTTTATTTTAAAAGAAAAGAAAATTTTTTATTTAAATAGAATACTCAAGTTATAGTGTAAACAAATTATTATTTTCTCTTTTATTTGTAGATAGAAATCTTTTATATCTAATAACAGTCACTTCTCAATATATCAAAATCATATGAATTTTAAGAGCAAAGAAAAAAAGATAAAGTTTAATTTCTCATAGATTGATTATAGTTTGGTAGAAATTTCTTTCATCTGAGATATATTCTACTTCTATAATAGAACTAAGGAACAAATGTCACCTTCTAGACTATTGTGCTTAACGACCTACACTGACACAATCTTTATATTTATTTCCATCGATAGTCAAACATGTCAACATATATTTTATATTATTATTATCAAATAGAACTCATCATTATCGAACTAATCAAATCGATGAAGTTTATCAGTTAGCTAAACGAGATTTTCGTTTTATAGATGTTTACTTTATAGAGAAAACACAAAAAACTCTTATGTACAATTTATAGTTTACTCTTCATTTATTTAAACATTATTTCAAAATTTAGATGATCTTCAACTAGTTATCTTATTTTATTAGATTTAACAGTTAAATCGTTTGAACTTTTTTTTCTTAAGAACTTAATATTGAATAAATCTACATATGTTGAAATATTAATGCTCTTCATAAGGCAAACAAATGATTAAATAGACCTTTTTCATTCAGTCCAAACGTCTAATAAACATTTAACAAAAAACAAAATCAATTCTCAAAATCATTTATGAGAAAATGAATAGTCGAACAGGTTCGATTGAATAAAATATTTCAAATGAAGATTTCTCATTATTAAACTAAAACACATTGAGAAGATTTTGACTGATTAAACAAGTGAAAATAACCAGAAATAGATGTGCCCAGAAAGTTCTCATCTCCTAGTGGACACTCATAGTGATATATGATTAATATCATTGATAGATTAAAATATTATCAATGATGAGAATAGGTTTATCATCAAGTTGAATTATTTATATTTTAGTCTTTGTTTTATTCACCTTATGAAATTGTTTTATGAGCGAGTATTCAAACGTTGTTTTTTTCCTGGATTTGACTTTCGTGATATATTGAATTATGGAAACTATTCTTTTATTCAATCGGCATAGCTATACTCAATGGAAATATGATTTCCATTAACATTACTTTTAAACTAATTCAAAGTAAACTTTATTGAAGGGGAAATCTATATTTAATCGATGAACAAATCTTAAATTTGTCTAGAATTGAATAATCATCTCTAAACTTTTCAAGATAATATAGAGTATAATCACTTGACACGAATTATTTCTTAATCTATTACCGAGTTAAATTAAGATTAATTGATCTTCATAGAAAACAAAATCAATATATTCGTCATTGATAACTTATAGAAATAAATTATCTAAGAGATTTTCACTCTTTATTCTCCTATCTATATATGAATATTAGATAACAGGATTCTATAGAAATTTTACCTAAAATAAAAGAAAAAATAAGCCAAATTAAATGTTTTAGAGAAACTCTGGATAAGAAATAACTGATCAACACATATTTAAAAAAAAAACAAGCTATCCATGTTGTAAAAGGGTTTGTATGGTATGATAAAAATTAATTGTTTATATAATTCTGATATAATTATTAGTATAAAGTACCTGTGAGAATCTTTCATGTGTGTTTTTTTCGATGCCATATATTATATAATGGGTTTGGTAGAAAGAAGTACTTGGCAGTTATCTCAACGAAAATCTGAGTATTATTCGATAAATGGAACTTGAAGTTTTTTGCTCTTATTGAAGAAAAAAACGGGTTAAAGTTATGGAATTGCAAAAGGTTTTTTCCTCATATTGGACAGTTGGAATGTTGTAATGGGCAGGATATAATTATATGTTCAATATAATTCATCAACAAAATTGATTACTGAACATTATTCAATAGATCATCGAAATTTTTCTTGCTTCGTTAGTTGAGATATAAACAAGATGAGAAGAATTTTTAAATAAAATCCTATAAGAACCTTCTCTATCTATGGAATAACCAACGTTAACTAAGAATAATCAAAGATTTGACAATGAACTAATCTTGTTCGGAACCTTTGTTTTACACATATAGAAATTTAATTGGATATTTTACCGTAAAAATATCAACTTTCCTCTAAGTCATCTGGCTAAAATAGAGTTTCGACTTAAAAATTATTTAATGTAGCAAGACTTGATCCCATGTTCATAGAGAATTTCAATTGAAATATTTATTTTTCATGTCCTATGAGTAAGACTAGAGATTTTTGTTTTGTTGAAAAAGAACGAAGGTTGAAAAAGGCAAAACCATTCTTAAACCTTTTCTATTACTGACCAAATCAACATAATCTCACTCAGAAAAAAATATATCGTTGTTTCAATTTGAATATTTGTTTGCTCTATTCTCATTTAAATGATCTTTTTTTCAATTTCGAATTCATTTATCTCTTTCTATTTTCTTAGGATTTGTTGATGAAAACTGTTCATCATTTGAATTCTTCATTATTTATGCAATAGACTCAAGAATCAAAACTCGTTTAATATTATCTTTAATTATTTTTTTTCATTTCGTTTCTATACTTTCACAATCTTATTATAAACTGATAAACAAATCTATATGTTTTGTTTTGTTTTGTTCAAAAGAGATAACTTTATATGTTATTATCCTTTATTTTAATCAATTATTAAAGACATACCATCGACGCTCAATAAAGCAATATCGAATGAAAGTATCTAAGAAACAAATTACGTATTCTATCTCATATAACGTTCGTTGTCAAATATGATTTTCAATGAACGTTGAAATATAAAAGATTTGTGTTAGCTGAAACATTCCTCTATTAGCAACAGCAGATCCGAAGACTTAAACAGAACTTATTTGATAAAGATCTCCGAAAAGTGAGACCTCTGAAAACCAGATTTCTAACTTCCATTCAAAGTTCATCGAGATGACAGAGACGCCTCATTTTGCTCTATCTAATTAAAATTATTCTCAAAACCTTTGAATAGATACGAGAAATCTCATTTTGAACGTCTTCATTCTCCAAAAAAATCGCATTCAAGGGTTTTTTTTTGTTACTTCTGGATCTTTGAGATTCGTTACCCGTTATTACTATTATAAACAAACACTATAAATATAGTTGTTGGAAACTTCTATCTCCTACTCTAAAGAGAATAAAATATTGTAGAAGGTGACTATTATTCAAGAGAATATCGTGGATATTCCTAGCAACGTCTCTCCTCTATCAAAGAGAGTGACACGATCGTACAATTAACAACTTCCTTATTACATTTCTCGAGCATGAAATAACAGAATTGTGAAAAAATCTCTTGCAAATTAGACTGAATAAAGCAATCTCCTTGTGATTAGTGACATCACCTTTATTATCAATTTTTTTATTTTAAGCAGTCATGACCGGTTTCGACCTTGCTTAAGGGTCTCATCAGATGACTTTTTATATTCGGACATGTATAACATGTACCTTTCTAT